CCCCCCCCCCGCCCCCCTACGGCAGTCGGTCGTCTTCGTGCACGACCCCCCCCAGTCGTGGAATCGACTACATCAAGGGGCATGATGATGAGAAAGACACCTCGGCTTCCTTCATTCCCTGAGGAAAGCTCACGAGTCCTCCTTGGCCATGTGAGCGATCAAATCTACCACGCGGGTGGAGTAACCCATTTCGTTGTCGTACCAAGAAACCACCTGCCGGATGGGATGGGATGGGACGAAACCGTAACACAAGCAAGACACACTTCCAGTGAGGGGAAACACACGTTCGCGACGTTCTCAACAAGCTTTACTGGACAACAAGTTGAGTGTCTTAATATCCCCCCCTGCATGCTGAATGATGCGTTGCGTTCCGACTACCGCGCGCAAGAATTGGGCGGGCCATGATTGCCACAGGAAACACATGGATGTACGAAAGACACAGCATGAGGGAAACTGGAACACGGAAGGGAATACGGGACATTGTATAGTACATGGTTTTCCGAATACCGCCCGCAAGAGATGGACGGGTCATGACTGCCACAGCAAACACACGGAAAAACGAGAGAAAGCATGAGAGAGTATGGAACACCAAACACCTTTGGGGAGAAGATCGACAGCAAACACGGGGATAGAGAGAGAAAGCATGAGGGAACATGGGACACGTAACGCATATGGCGAGAAAGAATCACGCACGTCGACGAGAGAGAGCGGGTAAGGGAATATGGAATATTGATAGGAAACATGAAAAACCGTGTTGAAAGGCGAGAACCATGCACCTTGATCAAGTCGAAAAATGAGGGAGGGATACACAATATTGAGGGAATATGGAATAACGTGTTGAAAGGCGAGAAACCACGCACCTTGACGAAGTCGTCGCTGAGAGCGATTCCCGCGCCAGCGTCGAAGACGGAGCTGTAGGGGTTGGACAGGAAGTCCGACGACACCACCTGCTCTTCCGTGTAGCCCAGCACACCTTCCATCGAACCCTCGGATGCCTGTGCAAGTGTCGCGTGAAAACATAAATTCGAGGCACATGTTCAACAACTACTGTATGTTCGTGAAAAGAGCAACTCATC